ATATTATTGACAATATATTTCATTTTAATTTTACATAAGTACATACATTATCTATTGTACTATGACATGAATCCTAATAAAGCTGATACTCGAAAATCAAAATCATCCAGATCATCGTCAATATTCCACGTAAATCCATCAATATTAACTGTACAATCAGTAATATTATCAGTATTTATTAATATTGACAGTATTATTGACCGTGTAAGGTCATCTTAAGATTTGTAATTCCGGGCCTTTTCCTAACTTCATTAAGAAAAAGGAAGGCAAAATGTGAACGTGATACACGTTAAGTCAATGCTTACAATTACAAATCTAGGATTACGATTCATTTTTGATGCTACAAATGATTCGAAGCAATTTTTTCATTGGTCAATTAGTAAAATTATTTCTTTCGATTGGCCAATCAAATGCTTCGAAGCATTTGTAGTGTCAAATGCACCGCACCTTTGGACATCTAATGTAGACATTCAATATTGAAAACAATAGGGTAAACCAAGAAAACCGCGTATGGGAGAGAAGGTATTGACGTTAAAATGACGAAACGCGCGATCCAACGCTACGTTCCAAACTGACGTACGCAGTGAGTCACGATCGTACATAGCGATCATCAGGAACGTAATGCGTTTGTTTCTTTGAATCAATTGATTTATTTCATCTTGATTAGCTTTCCTAACTGAAGTTCCAATAGTTATCTATAGTTTTTTTAAACCGTGGAATGGAGAGATTTATGATACAACGACGCTACGTAATTTAACTTTTTCTATTTGCAATTCCAATGGTGTATTCGACATAGCGGTATCTTTCGTTCGTGAATACCTGACCAAAGAGAGTTCTTATCTTCCATATTGTGCTGTAATTAAGAATGCTATCGCTATTGAGTGATACAGTATTGCTATCGATACGAAAATTTTACATACAAAAAATAGGCCACTTTAATTAAGTAACACAAGTTTTTCATATATTTTACACTTTTAATGAAATATTCTTAATCTAAACTTTTATAAACAAATAACCTAATTATTAAGTCAAAAGAAAAGAAAGAACAAGCGCATCATAAAATTTAATTTCAAAATAGTATAAAATATGCAGTCTAATTAATAAATATATAATATAATAACATATGTATATTTCCTCACAACATTTAAATAACACAAAACTGCTTAAAAATGGAAATTATTTATCACGTTTTCTGTTATAATAATAATTACCAGATCAAAACAATTAGAACTGATAACGGTCAAAATTTTTAAAAGCTTGTCTCCGCTTATCCTAGCTTTTAGCAGATTAGACTTTCTAATGATTACTGAAAGCATAACTTAGGGCTCAATGACCCGATCATTTGTATGTACAATTTACATATCAATAGCATTCTGGAATTAACACTTGAATAGAATAACTGATAGGAACAAAAATGAATGCGAACACGGAAAGAACGTTTTGTTGAAGTATCTGAATAACTTAACTAGATACAGATCTGAAAATAATTTTGTTACACCATTAAAATAATGAATAGGACGCTCAAACATAGTCATAATGCTTACAAAAAGGCATTCTAGCAACCAGTTTAATAAGTGTCCTACATAATTATTTTCACAGTCCACCAAAATTTTTCATATACTTCAGTTCTTTTTGTGAAACAGTATAAAAAAACAACGCGATAAAAAAATATATTATATTATTTTTGAAAGAAATTAAACTTGACATGAAAATATAAATGTATAATTTGTTTAGAAGAATAATTGCACGAAATTATTTAGTACTATTCCGCAAAATCGATAAAGCGCCATATATTCTCGCGCAATTAACACTAACTTACCGGTATGAGTCCTCTTGTGCGCTTTTAGGTGCGAGCTCTTCGTGTAAACTTTGTCGCAGCCAGCAACGTCGCATCTGTGAACTTTGCGTCTCTTCAGCGCGTCGCCGCATTCGCCATCGACACCTAAATTGCCGCCGTTTCCGCCAACGCCGGCGTTTGCTCTGCCACCCACCAAACCGATACCCGCTGCTAGCGCCGGACGTTTGTGGAACACGCTACAATCAGATAGTTAAATCCACAAAAGTTAATCCTAACGTGAATACAAATAGCATGCCTTTTACAAAAGTTACATTAATAAAATTATAACATTCAACATAATATTCTTCTTTTTATTAAATTCATTTTAGCCGAGACAGATCAAGTCATAAACTTCAACAAATTGAATAAAATTCTTCATGGCTCATTTTAATTATAATTTATTTTTATCTTCTAAGAATTTATTAATGTTTAGTAACAATAATGTCCGACTTATGCTAGCCTTTCTCTTGGTATAAGCGAAAAACTCACTTAGTTTTTGATTATATTACAGGCAGGTAAAGTCGTTTAAAATGAAACGACCAAAGAGATACGAGGTAATATCGTCAAGAAGAAATCAAGAAGAAATCAAATACGATTCATAAAACGGCGTAACGCAACATGCCGCGAATTATGAAAGGATCGGTCCTGGGATCGCGTGTGCCTTTTTGCACTCGACCTTCGTAACTATACACTATACATTCGAGATGACATTGATTACGATGAAGAAACGAGCGACAAAAAAATTTTGCCGTTCCAGTCGTTACCAATATCAATTCCTATATGGACGAGAGACGTCTTCATCAATCGTTTTGCGCTGTAACATGTAGACTCGATTGTACGACAGATGATCTCTCACTCCTTCTTTTTCTAAGGAATAACTCTCAGTTATTCCTTAAAGCCACAGCAAGCAGCTGTGTACTTTACAATACAATATAAACTATTAAAATAATATAAACTATATAATAATAGTTCATTTTTAATATTTTCATTCTAATTTAACCAGTATGTAGACATATGGGATCAGAGCTACTTTTTCTTCTTCTTTTTCTTGAATGAATCCCAATCTACTAAAAATAGTCACAATATCACAAATAAAAGACGAATCAAACAATCCAATATTTAATCTCCACAAGGGAGAAAAGCCATAGCAATCCAAAGCCACTTTGTAATGATCGCTGTATGATTTTGTACGCCTATTTATATGAGGATTAATATTATATTTTTTCATTTTTATATTAAAAAAATTTATTTAACATTCTAAAAGTAAAAACGATTTAAAAAGTAATATCAAGGTCTTAGATATCCACGTTGAGTAAAAATAAAAATTTATTAAGAAAAACATTTTTTAAAAGACAAGAAACTTAAAAATTAAGAACTTAAGTTTAAATTTGATAATTCTTATCACAGAGTGTAAAATTATTTATTCTAACAGTTGAAGTTTAAATTAGTACAATTTCAGTTTTTTTTCTTTACTGTAAAATCAGTGTAACTTATTTTTCCAGATAATGTACTGCTTTTTCATCTAGATAAGTGTACCAATTTCCGATGTTACTTGTAATGCGAAGTTTTCGTTTCGAGCCGGAGTACCTTTCTCGGTAAGTACTCGAAAAACCGAGCGATTCGTCGAAAGCGCGCAATCGGCCGAATGGTGGCCGGACCGATCGATGGAAACAAGAAAGGTATATCGGACCAGCTCGATCAATCTCAACTTGACGCACTGAATTCTGGTAGGACTTGTTTTTCCATGAAACTCGTACGTGGCAACAATATAGATAGACTCGCGTTTTTTAGGGCGTGCCATATTTGTACCAGTCAATTTGACGCAGTGCAAAATATTACCCTCGAATCATTTATGAAGAAAGAAACGAGATAAGCACCGAAAGGTAATCTGAAGGAATTACATAAATATCGAAAATTTTGATGCTTTTAAACGATCGCAATAAATTCGACTCTAACTATTTTAGCACGTTTAATTACAATTTTTCCTAAATTTTTAATATGCCTCTTATACATTCCAGACTATTAAATTCATATTTTTACTCACAATTTGAATTATTTTTAATCATTTCTAAACCGCCACTGCTCCTACTTAATACGTCGTTAATTTAATTAAAACAATGGACGATTTTATTCAAGAAATGTATTAAACCTAAAACACAAACAAATTAATGTATTAAATTTGACTCAAATTTAGTTTATTATTAATTAAGTACATATGTTGAGTATAATATATTGTTTACTTTAAAGTTGAGAAATTTAATTTTAACACACACAGAAGTTAAAACTGACAAAATATTTAACTCAAAGGATTAAGTTACTATCGCTTTTTTCATATCTGTGTTCATTTTGTTATCATTATAATTTTACTATTAACGTAATAGCTCGTCGACATAAAGTTATTCTACTTGAAAGCGATATTTTATATAAATTCACATCGGAACAATAAATTACGGAACGATACTAATCTGCAACGTGCGATCCGGGCCGTGATCGAGAATTGGAGGAGTTTTAAACTCTAGCTAGATAAAACGACGTCGGTACTACTGACGCGTTCTTACCCGCGCCGTATTTCATCGAAGCTATGTGAGGGCCTTCCTCGTACCATTCACGCTATAAACTAGAACGGCGTGTTGCGCGAACTGACATAAATCCGTTTCCAGTCGCGATAATCCGGCTCGCGTCTACCTCAAACCGCCCCTCGGAAAGTACCAGCTATGTGTCTTTATTCGTTCGTGTTTCTCTCTCTGTCGACACATAAACGCCATGGAAAATTAATTATTCGCTGTACTTCAATATGAACTAACAACTGCATATTGCCTCCTAACATACTTTTCTAACGATCTCGCTGTTATATTACACGTTGCAGTCCGTTAACCCTCGCGTTATAGCGGCGAGAAGACCGCACGTTTGCGAGCCACGTCGCAGAAACGCATCACAATGCATTTTAAACGAAAAACTACGAAACTAACTAGCATGTTGCACAGTGCAATCTATAGACGGCTTCCTACTGTAGACAGAAGTTAAAATCTGATTTGTCAAAATGTGACAGGAACATTTATGTAATGTCACTCACTGAAAATTAAACTGTATAACTAAGTAAAACTTGGAAAAGTTAATGTACAATAGTATGATAGAAAAATTGTAACCACTAATCAGCTAGACATAACAAAGTACGGAAAGAACGTTTTGTTGAAGAATCTAAAAATGTAGATACTGGATTTAAAACTAATTTTGTTAGTTATTTTGTTAATTATATCAAAATAATTATAATAAATTTAAGCTAAAATATCAAAATTTTTTGCAGTATTATTATCATGCATAAAGATTTTTATATAATTATTTTTCCAACAAAACTTTCACATCTGTATCTAGCAAAAATTTTAAATATTTCAGCAAAACTGTTCTTTTCGTGCGACAATTTAATAGACAGACAAAAAACAACTGAGAAATATGTACATATTTGTTATAAAATGTACGTTTGTGCAAGCTACAATGTTGTACTTTTTAAAAAATTTTGGAGAATAAAATTAATTTAACTTAATGCAAAATGTAATCATAGCAGAACACTTCTAATATAAACAAATTATTATAAAATTGTTATAAAATGTACTGAATTGTTTGCAAGTAATGTTGTACTTTTTAAAAGATTTTGGAGAATAAAAATTAATTTAATTCAATGCAAAATATAATCATGCCAAAACATCTCTAATATAAACCAATTAAATGCAAAATTTATCTTGATATACAATATGTTTTTCTATGCGGCGAATTCATCGCAGATTTTTCACGTACATATAAAGAGATAAAAAATATACACAAAAGACAAGCTGCAATTTACATCGGACGTGATTTATAATTATTTCTTCATCAAACGTGTGTGGATTAAGATAAAAATAATTATATAAAATTCAAATAAAGAACCGTATAATTGGTTACCAGATTATTTACTAAATTCTTGAATAAATTTAACCTTAAAATGATTCTCACGCGTCTTTTCATATTTTTAGATAACGATCAATTTTTCCAACGAACTAAAATCGCTAACTGAAAGATCCGTTTCAAGGATAAGCGCCAAACAAAGTTCGTGCGCAACGCGCCGTATAGATACGCTGATTTGCAAAGAGCGTATAATGGATCGGCGTCACGCTAATTGGGCGAAAGGAGCGAGTCGAAATTACTTAGGCGCGTGCTTGAAAGAAATCGTGACAGGACGTGTAAAATGAGGTTTGTTAGCGTGCGCCGGGTGTCACGAGATTACTATGTTTCTTAGTGTGTGTGTCAGAACACGGTTTCTATAATGTTAGATGGATCGCGGGAGAAGCCCGGGCACAATGAAAACGACAATCGCGCGGGTGCGCGGCGAGAGCAAATTAAACGAGATTTACAGCGAGCGCACGATCTCGTCCTATTAACCCTGGACGTACTTATGCATTCGATGAAATACGACTATACGTAAGAATCACCGTCGTGAATGAGTACTCGCGAGTATACCCTGCTGCTTTCGACCGATTGTAAAGCGATAATAAAGTCAGTCTTTGTATTCCGCATGGCAATATAGTTAATAAGTTTCAACGCACACGTATGTTTCTGCATTGTCGGACGTTTACTCTGCACGTCTTCATTCTCGACAGTTTAAATGTTATACATATAAATGCATACGTTATCCAACAAAAAAAAAAATAAGATAAAGACAATTAAATTAATTTAATTCAAATAAACAACGTTTGTTTTTCTCAGTGTACAGATACTTTTGTTACGTTGTACAAATTGGCTACGGCACTTTCAATATATACGTTCTAAGTTTTACACGTGCGAATTCCCCCTTAGATGATCAACGATTCTCGCGAGAGAAAATTTCTTTAATTAGAATTATCAGAGACACTAGCGACATTAAATTATTCCCGCATTATCCATCTACAATGCGGACTTGCTTAGCATATATCGTTACGTGTTACGCCGGCGGCAATATCAATTATCAATTAATCATCAACTTTTATCACGCGCTCGTCTCAATCACGCTGTACCCAGCCTTTTAACTTTCAACGCTATTCCCATCTCAACGCTGTTCTCTCGTCGTCTTCAAGCAACGCGGACACGCCTGTCTAAGTGGGAGACGCAACAGGTGAATAATAATACTTACAGAGAAGCGTCCTTTATCCTCTGCAACGCGAGAAGGGCCGCAGTAGGGGAGATGAAGACAGACTCGGGTGGTTCCATCATGCAGACCGATACGTCCCTTTCCCGGTCTCTCTCCCTGTCCCTTTGCCTGTCGCGATCGCGTTCCCTTTCCCGATCCCGCACCTCCCTCTCCCTGATCGCGGGTTCTCTTTCCTGTTGACGTTCCCTCTCGTTCTCGCCGCTCCTTTCCCGCACCCTCTCGCGATCCCGGTTCCTCTCCCGGCTTCGATCGTGATCTCTGTCCCACGCTGTTTCGCCCAACGGTGGCAAAGACGGGGACGCTGCAAAAGAAATACATTTCCTTCATTTATCCCTGCTTGCTTGCTGGAAAAATGTTAGTAATAATAACTTGATTGCGTACATACGAGATTGCTTTATGATAAATCGGAAAATTATAAAGAGGCGAATGAAAAAGATATACCGCACGCAAAAGGTGAGGGGCACCATCTACGATGCCTATCTGTAATAAAAATACGATGATCAGAGCGCAAGATGGATAAAGCGTAAAACACGTGGAAAGTAAATAATTTTACTTTGTTTTAACATGAATTATTTGAATTCCAATTGCAGAACGAATCCTAATACTTATCAATAAATGGATAATTTATAAATAAATTATCCATTTATAAGAACTTACAGCTACGGAAATTCATGATTAATCCAAACGGGATTCTATAAGAGAGACCTCCCGATTTAACGGAAAGCATGATTCACTGCATACGTGATGGCGATGTTAATATTCGTTTTTTAATCTAAGGGGCCGGATTACACCGAGGGATATTTCTGTATAAAGAGGGAGAAGACGTTCTCGCAGATTGGAAACCTATTTCTGAGAACCGGTATCACCTGCCGTCTAACTGATTACGGTATTTTACATAATTACGCGGTATCTCTCGCACCTTGTAAGGAGCGTGCCGTGTTTCGAGTAATAGCTACTATCGTAGGATGCTCAAAAGTAAAATCGCGAATAAATCGATGTTCCGAGAAGATATCGAATGCAAGCGAGATAATACGAGCAACATGTATTTTTTTTTTTTTTTTTATTATATATAATGTCTACGCGTTTGCCACTTTGTGCGAACGTGCCGTGGCACGTCACGGTACTGTGCCCTCGATCCATCAGCGATCGAGGATCGAAGGTCGATGTCAGGCGTGAGTACGATGCAGCTCATGCAACTTCTCGCGAATAAATCAACGGAACGAATAAAGCGCAAGCGTTCAATCCACCTCGAGATCTCCCAATCCCACGCGACGGTGTGTTACAAATCGCTTTATAATTTCTTTTTACAGAATTGCACGAGCAATCGGAGCTTGACTCGAGGCTTAAACTTCGCTTATCATTACGATCGCGAGATTTTCTGCGAAATTTCGCGACTACCATGAATCGTTTCCATGTAAATTTCTATATTCTTCAAAAATTGGTAGGTTTATTACCGTGTTACATAGCATAGCATTGCAATTTACTTCGCTATCGAGAGAGTTTTGACGACCTTTGACCCGTTGACACCGCGACCGGCCAACATTGAATCTGGCCGCTGCATGTATCTTGCAGCACGTTTTGCGATTTGTGAGCCGACTGACAAGCATGTTAAATGCCCGTGACATTACTGTTACTAATTAGTAGTCGCGTTAGCAAGGCAATACATTCGCGAGATCGAGCGGGAAGACGCGGCGGCTTTGCGAGACTGCTGTCGATCGTATTGCCGATAATATTTTGACTACACGTCTTTCATTCATCATAGATCGCTTCCTTCATCATCTCTTCTAATTGAAGTAAATTTGCAAACTCATTTCGTTACGATGGTTTACCTGCACGTGCGATCATCATCATGCAATTTCGACAAAACCGCCGAGTTGTTTTGGTAATCCTTCCTAAAAGTTCCTTCGATTCCGTTTATAGGGATGAGTGATAAGAAGGTTCAAAATATTATAAAGACTCGTTTTAAACGATAATTTTGTTTTAATAAATTATTTTTTTAATAAATTAATTTACAATGTGTGCTTAATGACAATTTAACTCAAAACTACTCTTTTTTGAAGTGGAAGCTCCTTTTAAAAAATAAAAATTAGGTCTGTCTTGAAAAAGAGCGGCTCGATTTTCAATTTTTGAAAGTAAGATTTTACTCTTTAGATTTCACTCTAAAAGTTTTAGACAGTACTTATTAGACAGTAATTATTCATTGTTTGCTTCAAAAGATAAATAAAAATTATCAAAGATACGGAGAAAGAACAATTTTGGATACGTTTTACTTGGCGTTCGTAACATCATTTTTCCTTGTTATTTATCAAATGTTAAACAAGAATAAAGTGATGCTCACAAGCATTACAATCAAGCGAAACGTATCTTTTGCTGAAGTAAAAAATTAGTTAGTAAAAAGTTTTGATATTCTAGCAATCATCTTGAATGTCATACTAAGAAAATATATATTAAATTTTAATAAATGTTATTATTAATAAATATACACATATACGTATTTATTTGAAGAACCAATAAATTTGATGTAACTATTATTCTCTTTATTTATTTGTCGTAAATAAATGTTAAACTAGTATTATTCAAATAAATATTTTTATCAACATTTATTATAGTATATTTTTTCTCAGTATTATTTTGATAGTCTAACAAAATTATTTTCAGTTCTGTATCCAATTCTAAATTTTTGCTGCAATAAAATCGTTCATTTCGTGTATCATTAATGATGAAAATTATTCGTTCTGTTTACCATTAATGATAAATAATATGACGATGATTTGTTCTCGATACGCATCTAACCGATCATCAATTATCCGTTTTGTCATGGCAGAAATCTCGTGAGCGATCTGAAGGCGGTCAAGCGTCTTCGAATCGTATCGAGGAATCATTATAAATTCAGTCGATTGAACCACGATGTAACAGCACAGTAACAGCAGTATTATTAGCCGCAATTTCCATGCGCCGGATGGGGCGGCTTCGCTTACTAGCCGCTGCTTCGGACACTTTTTCTCTTTCTTCCTTTGAAGTCTCGTTCAGGACGTCTCGTTATGGCCATTAACTCTTCGCGTAGTTCTATAATCCCATGATCTTCATTATCTAATGGAGAACGCAGTCGTCACTACTGAAAACGATGTGATGTGACAGAGCTTCACCCGTCGGTGTCTTACGTTTCACCCTAATCTTTTTTTTCTCATTTTCTTTTTCCCGTTTAACTATTAACGTGATCTCTGACGTTAAAATATAACAATGTTTGTAATTGGCGTATGAGATGACGCGTTTAATTATGCTTCTATAAAAAGAGCTTCCGGTAAGAAGTTAAATTAACGATTAAAAGATAGAATTCGCGCGAACAGTCTAGTTCAAGTAACTCTAGATTAATAATATCTATACCATCTCTTTCCACATTATACTACTTATAATACATATATGCAAAAAAGGAAAGATTTAATTAAAAAATGTAATTAATTTTATCGAATACGTGGTTATAAATTTGAACTCAGCTAGCTTGAATTCTGTATAATGATATTACAGTTGAAATATGTAGATACCAGCCATTCAATAACTGCGTACATTTATAAATCGTCCTTCCTCAATTTACAAAATTATGTAAAATTATATCAGATCATAGGATTTTGATGTTATTTTTCGAAAAAAAAGATCCTCTAAAGAATTTTATTCTCCGAAAAAAAATCCCCTAAAAGATTTTATTGTTCAAAGAGAAAAATCCTTGAGAGGATTTTATTCTTCAAAGAAAGAATTCTCTGAAAGATTTTATTCTTCGAGGAGAAAAATCCTCTCAAGGATTTTATTCTTCGACAAGAAAAATCCTCCTTCCGGTACCTTCTGGTACCTTCATTGCCTCCAAAATTGTTAATTACTTTAAATCTTAGCCCTTAAATCTTTGTAGTAAACATCTTCTTCTTCTGTTGCTAAATTACCATACCTACGGTGAGACCATCCCTCTCGCGTTCGCTATATCATCGCCTCGCCCACGCCAGCGACAGGGTTAATCCTAAGCATTAACAGTAATACGTGGTCTTAGCTATGTTTTGCCTTTCTGTCCATTTCACCTTCATCTTCCCTCTAGGAGCTCGCTCCTACTCTCACGAGGTCTTTACTCTTAATTTTTTTTCACTTCTTTTTTCTTTTTTCTTCGCGCATAGGTATTCGTTCTCTCTCTCTCTCTCTCTCTCTCTCTCTCTCTCTCTCTCTCCCTTCTTCTCATGCGCGTAAGGGAACATCAAGGGGGGTAATTGATAATGTTAAACGCCGGGGTTAATCCATCGATTTATGAGCAGAGTTTGCACCATAGATTTTTTAAAATCCGCCAAATTGAGGGATAATCGTCCGACGTTAATGCCTCGCTGCTAAAGATCGCCGTGCAAAGTCGGGGGTTTGATTGAGAGAGATAAGTAGGAGTTCGCGGAGGTTTATAGCGCTTCGCGTGTCCAGTGGCGAATAAAAGAACCCCGCTAATCCGCCAAGAAAAAGAGGGGGTGTCTGAATCGGCTGAGAGAATCGATCTCGCGTTAGATGCGGTGCGCGGGCGTCGAAGATAAAGCGCTTGCCTCGTGACCCGGAGGTAAAGGTAGTCACTCGTTGTAGGATCCTGCGTTTGCAACGATGCGATTTAAGTTTCGCGACTTTTGAATCACGTCGTACTAATCCATGACGGTGACTTGTGCCTAGGAGCTTATGCGTGTTTAGATAAATATTAACATAATGGATATAACGTAAGAATATAATAAGGATGAAGGTGTTAATACATGAAAAGAGCTTTTGAAAGACCTAAAATTTTGGACGTAGATCTGAAAATAATTTTGTTGGAACCATCCAAATAATGAAAACTAAAAAATCATGAGCAAAAGTAAATTTAATATTCTAAAACAATTAGTTTGAGGTTCTAACAAAATTATTTTGATGCTCCAATAAAATTATTTTTAGATTTGAATCAAAGCAAAAATTTGGATCTTTCAACAAAATCGTTCTTTCTATGAATTAGCATAGCAGCAATAAAAATAATTATATATAAAAATTAAAGAATATCGCATGTGATTGAACGATCCAGCGAGATTTAACCGTCTAAAGTTGATGGTGGTTTATTGGATCCACTCAATTATAAATTCCTTTGTAAAAAGTGACAAGTTCAATTTTTTTAAGTTACATTTGCAAATTTTGATTATTCTTATTAAAATATGCTTAGAATTTATTCTTTTCGAATTATATTATTTTGATTTCTTAAATTAATGCTTTTTATTAATATAAATTAAATGGATTTTATAGAACCAGCTTCAATAAATGATTTTGGCGTTAGTTAACAATGGGTGCTTCCCATTTATTGACACAAGTCGACACGAATCTCATTCTATCTTTCTTGACATTCAGAGAATAACAAAGACAGAACAACATTTATGTTACCAAATGGAAAACACTCATTGAAGTCGAATTCAAGCGATTACTAAAAGGCGTTGGTTTTTTTTTTTTTTTTTTTTTTTTTTTAACGAAATGGAAAGACGATTTCGGACACATCTGTGTCATTCACGAGTGAACGATTGGTGGTTCCCGTTTACTCCATGCTTCGCGTCCGGCAACATCCATTATTACGCGTCGTATAATCCAGCGGGTGGGCGCATTAGCCGCACGGAATATGCGCGAGTGCTCGCGTGCGCGTGCACAGGATGGAAGGTGGGTGGACATGCCACCCGCGTTGCGGAACTCGTTAAGCTTTATGTGTTTTCAATTAAGTTTCCGGGCCCGCGTACACGCGGCGCGTAGATTAGCGCGGGCGGCCGCGCGCTTGGGTCGATTAATCGTCGAGTATTATCTCTCGTCCCTCGTGCCGCGGGGGCCACTACGATGTTTAGAAAATTTATCGATGGCGGTTCGTTGTACAAAGCACCGGTTATCCATCAGGTGCGAAGATAACGCACGCGATAACGCCTAAACGTTATTCCACGCGAAGTGCCGTAAGTCTATCCACAGAACGTTCGCGGCTCGGAAAGGAACCCACGGATGGGATCGCTGAACTTTCACACCGATATCTATGTTTTGTAGGAAAAAGGAAAGAAATTCGCGTGGGCCGAGACAATCGAAGATACCGTCGTCGGTGGGTGTGTAGTCGAAGTGAACATTTTATTTAGATTATTTAATTATGATAAGAACAGAGTAAAAGATATATACATGTATTGACGTATGCTTATTGCTTTAAGATGACCGATTATGGCTGCGACATGTGTAGAAATATACATTATTTTCAGATCTGTAACTAATTAAATTTTTAAATACTTCAACTTCGTTCTCTCTATATATATTGTAAAAAATATATTTATAATAAAAACGTCGGTATGTTAAATTAAAAAATTATATAAACAAGAATAATTATGTTATAAAATGTGTACAATGTAATACTTCTACAAAAAAGAATTTAAAAAAATTGCAACTATACCATAACATAACTATAATTAATCACCATTTTCGATGTCAATTTTGTATTTTTTTGTTAGAACTATAAAAATATAATTGTTATTATTAATATTATAGAGTAATAATTATAAAAATGGACCACTTTCTCTCTTAGCCATAATTATTTTACTATAATATGCAGTCGTAAATATCCAAAGATCTTTCTCTTATTGTAGTATGATTTCACGCGCTACAAAATGCGCTCAGTTTGCAGGATAGAAATTATTCTGGAAATAATTAAAGTTCATCTTTCGTCACATTTATGGCTTCAAGACCGTGTCACGCGGCTTGCGTGACGCAAACGCGAGATGAAACGATTATTTCTTTGTTAAGCCACATATGTTGACGTGTCTTTATCATAATTAAGTGCAATCTCGTGTACGCTAATTGAC